CACATTATCTTTATTTTAATTTGCATCATAGTTGACTGAGAAATAAAAAAAAAATAATATGACACAATAAATTCGTTTGGCTAACAATTCAAAATGGACTATAAGCAACTCTAGTGTTCTTCACCCATTGATGAACTTCTGGTGAAAGCTTAATGTGACTATTTTTAGCTTCATAATGTTCCTTTTACAGCATCGATGTTGTAATGTAATTCAAATATAATCAGTTGAATAGACTTAAGCATCCATTTGGTTGTTAAAGCATAAAAAGAGACGAAAGACGCAGGCGACAACATTAGTGGCAGGCTGGCACAGAAATTCCATTGAAAATACTGGGGTAAAATTAATTTCTATTTTGTAAAGACATGACGTGAAAAAAAATATGATTGAATGGTTTAAAACCTACTTTATATCGTCTCTCAGCCAGGGAGTGAAAATTAATGTTCTTTGAAGGAATCAGATCTTAAGCGCAGCTATTTTGTGTGGGATAACAATTAACTGGAAGCTCTGGGGTTGGCTGACTGAAATAAAAAGTGTGTGTGCATATACCCTATTATGTTGGAATAAAAATTAAGAATTGATTCAGCTAGCTTTTAAGGTAATATAATTTTCCTAAAATGATTTTTATCCGATACAAAATATTCCCAAAACTGCTTTAAATTAAGACACTAATTGCGCTGAGGGTGAGGCAGTGGCGCAGTAGGTAGTGCTGTCGCCTCGCAGCAAGAAGGTAGCTGGGTCGCTGGTTCGAACCTCGGCTCAGTTGACGTTTCTGTGTGGAGTTTGCATGTTCTCTCTGCCTTCACGTGGGTTTTCTCTGGGTGCTCCGGTTTCCTCTACAGTCCAAAGACATGTGGTACAGGTTAATTGGGTAGGCTAAATTGTCCGTAGTGTATGAGTGTGTGTGTGAATGTGTGTGTGGATGTTTCCCAGAGATGGGTTGCGGTTGGAAGGGCACTCCTGTGTAAAAACTTGCTGGATAAGTTGGTGGTTCATTCCGCTGTGGTGAACCAGGATTAATAAAGGGACTAAGCCGACAAGAAAATGAATGAATGAATGACTAATTGCGCTCTTAAAGAGACATTGCTTTTGATGTTTTCTCATAAATGCAGTTTGCTGAAGCCCAGTTCAACTTTGAACATTAGGACTATAATTTTCTGAGCAGAAATAACTTGGACCTTGGAGATGCCATGTTTTCTAGCCACCAGTATTCTTAGATTCCATTGCTTGTGCCAGATAATCACAGAAGTGGACAGTTCCAGCCTTTCTGACCACTTAAAGGATAATCCCTGATAGTACAACAAAGTCTATAGCTGGCAGTGAGATCTCTGAGTTGATATTCCTGCAGTCTGAGTCATTCGGACCTTTGGTTGGAATCAGGGCAGGGTCATGGTTTGGGTTTACAATGAATCAGGTTATCTTTTTCTCTTTTTATCTTCCTGCCAAGTCAAAGTGCTTCCCTATCTTCCCGCAAGGCTGTCCGACTTAATTTAGACATCGGAAAATGCTTACGTTACAACCTCTTCAAACACCAATGACTGTGCCTTCGGTGTCTTTACCACAGTATGTGTCATATGTTGTTTTAATTTTGCTTTGACTACACAATGTTTCTGGAGAGCAGGAAAGACTCTGATTTCCACTTCAAACTGAAGAGCTTCAGGTGTTGTTGTTTTGCAGTCTGGCTAATTTTAGTGAGGAATGTTAAGTCTGGTGTGCTGAGCATCCATCATCACTAAAAACATTCTATGTGTACACATAATTTGCATTTTGATGGTCAATCCAGGCCACATACCTCAACGGTTCGTATTTCTGCATCTAAATTCATCGTTTTAATGCAAGCTTGTTGTTTGTAATGGCCTCTGAAGACTATCCCACATGCACTTTTAGGTTATCTTTGCCTGCGGAGCAGATGTGATCTGGAAAAGCACTTGAGTTCAGAGCTTTTCCGTCTTCAGTACTTACTACACCTCTTTACTCGGTGCTCACCGAGGCAAGAAACCACAGAAATGTCCCAACCAAGGAGCGCAAAGTTCCTGTCCAACAAGTCTTGTATGGCACAGAACAGACTTTCTTGTGAATGAGACTTTGTGCCAATGAAAGCAGATTGAATGGCTGATGTTTTTAGTTACCCGTCAAGTTAAATCCATGCTAAGTCAACTACACGTAACCTACACTGTCAGAAAACAATACCTTTAGGAGTAAAACAACTTGAAATTGAGACTTCACCTCTCATGCTCTACCTTTTTAACCCAAGACACAATTTAGTACCTTAGAGTAGTGTGCTTGCCCTAAGGGTTTTTAAACTTTCATGGGAACATAAGATATAGTGTTGTCCGCACTAACAAGTGACATCATCCCAAAGTACGGTTACCCACAGTTGGAACTTGTCCCTGCATTTCACCCATCCCAGAGCACACACACACAGCAGATTTTCTACAGAGCACTTTTGCTACAGCACCCAAGGAGCAATTAAGGATTAGGTGACTAGCTCAAGGACACCTCAGTCATAGTTAATAAGAATGGAAGAGACCGCTGCTCAATTAGTCCTGCCGGTACAGGGAATCAAACCTAAAACATTTGGGTTAAGTCTAAGGCCCCGTTTACACTAATGCGTTTTAGTTTGAAAACGCATAAGTTTTGCTACGGTTACACCATCCGTCCACACTTCGCCGGAGTTTTCGAGTGCTGAAAACGGAGCATTTCGAAAACGCTGGAGAGGCGGTTTTCATTCTAATACGCTGCTGCTCCGTCTAAGTGTGGATGATGGAAAACGGAGACATCTGAAAACGGAGGCGGGGTTGCAGACATTCGCCTCTCTGATTGGGGCTTTTCCTCAATATTAAGTAGCCTAACACACACAATTCAGTCCTGCATCCTCTCTTTGTAAGTTCAGACTTCGCAAGTTTGATCAAGGCTGCAGTCTCTTCTTCTCAGTTTGATATGGAAAACAGACTATACCGAGGACACGGGTAAATCTTCAAAGGGACCAGTGTACTTTATAGCTTCATTCACATCACCCTGGCTCCGTTGTTTCACTTTCTCAACAATAAAATGCAAACATGATTTAAGGAACTGCTTATCTTCATTTTAATATTAGCAGCTTAACAGACAGCAGAAATGTTGAGGCGTCGTGCTGCATTTATGAGCGTCATCTTCACTGCCTATAACTACTGCCTCCTTTCAATTTCAGAGAAAATACGAAACATACCCTCTCTTTTGCTGAATATCAGTTTTAATAATCGATAATGGCCATTATAAAAGTATAACATACAATAAGTTTATACATTATAGGAAATAAAGGCAAGCGATCAGTCAATATACAGAATGTAGGCTACGTGGTTACATTAATCATTAACTTATCTCTGCACTTAGCCAAAACACGTTACCCGAGAACAAGTAATAGATTCCAATGACCAAAGTCAGGGAATATGTCATTAGATATAGACAATAAGATGAAGGAAATATCACGTTTAATAAATATAGTGAGATTAGATCCAACGGGAGATGCTGAGAAGTCCGACTAGCAGAGCTCTCATCTGGGTAGATGGGCTGCAGCGCTTGCCCGAGAGTGTGTGTGTGTGTGTGGTCACAAGATGTGCGAGTGTGGACGCGGATCGTTTTCATTCTAAAACGCTGTTTTAAAACTAAAACGCACTAGTGTAAACGGGGCCTAACTCTCTAATCATTAGTCCTGAACTGCCCTTGCTGACTGTGTAAAGTAGGTCTAGCCCAAAATAGCGCAAGGCCAAATTGACAACTTGCCACTTTGGTACAACACTGGAACAGTACAACTTTGAACCTCCCTTATCCAATAAGTGGGGCGGGGAGTAGAGCTGTGGTACTGGAACGTGGGCGCTAGCACATTAGGGTGGACCACACCATTCTCAAGTCCTACAGAGGAGCTCCAGAAGGATAAATGGAGAACTGAAGTTAGTAAACAGATGGGAGGGGACCATGCCTATAAGACATTTATGTTGGGGTTTTGTTTATGTTTGTGTGGTAGTTAAGGGGCTACAGTTTTACTTTCATTTGGTGTTTATTTCATTAATAAAACTTGGGTTGAGTGACCCCCTGTAGCAGGGGTCACCAATTTCAGTCCTGAAGGGTAGGTTTTCGTGCAGAGTTTAGCTCCAACTTGCCTCAACACACCTGCCTGGAAGTTTCAAGTATACCTAGTAAGACCTTGATTAGCTTGTTCGGGTGTGTTTGATTAGCGTTAGAACTAAACTCTGCAGGACGCCGACCCTCCAGGAACAAATTTGATGACCACCGCCCTGGAGGAAGTAGAAGTCAATTGTGGAGATTTGTAGTGCAATTAAGCTGGACAAGGTAGTCTGCCTCTGTGGGTGCTTCAGGATGGTAGCTACTGGAAGAACTATCCAATGGGGTCGCTACTGTCCATGAGGGGAAGAAGAGTCATCCATGAGGCAGATGGCAGCAAGCCCTTCTCAGAATCTTGCTTAGTCCAGATCAATGGCACTCCAAATTTCATAGTTCATTGAGGAAGGAAGCAGGACCTGACATGTTTTATTAACACTATAAACACATACTCTAGCTAGTTCATGTGTAAAACCGCAGTATACTTTGGGTTTAAAGGTGTAGGTTCTGCACATTTTATGAATGCATTCATTCATTCATTCATTTTCTTGTCGGCTTAGTCCCTTTATTGATTCGGGGTCGCCACAGCAGAATGAACCGCCAACTTATCCAGCAAGTTTTTATGCAGTGGATGCCCTTCCAGCCGCAACCGATCTCTGGGAAACATCCACACACATACACACACTCATACACTACGGACAATTTAGCCTAACTAATTCACCTGTACCGGATGTCTTTGGACTGTGGGGGAAACCGGAGCACCCGGAGGAAACCCACGCGAACGCAGGGAGAACATTCAAACTCCACGCAGAAACGCCAACTGAGCCAAGGATCGAACCAGCGACCCAGCGACCTCCTTTACATAAAAAAGTCACTTGTTCAAGGTCAAAATCATCAATACTCACTCTCGCACAGTCTCCTCCTCAGCCTGCCCCTGATCTTGTCGATGGCGTCAAAGTCGGTCACATGGAAGACATGAGCGCTTTTGGGCTCGGCTGCAATCTCCTCCAGCTCTTCCTTCAGAGCTTCCCCAATCCCTACTGCGAACAACCTGATCCCAGCAGCTGCTGCAGCAACCGACGGCTCCAAAACAAAATCCTGACTCTGGCCATCCGTTAGCAAGATGGCCACTTTCTGAATCCCCTTGGCAGCAGGTCTCGCTCCTGCCCTCTCTGTGAAGATGTTGGTGGTGGTGAAGCTGATGGCGTCCCCAGTCTTGGTGTTTCCACCCAGGTAGCGGATGTTCCCAGCCGCACGTTTGACCTCCTCCAATGTTTTGTACCTTGCCAGGTTGAATTCGACGGTTGGGCGGTCGCTGTAGCGAACCACTGCCACACGTGTCTTATCCACACCTACGTCAAAAGATTCCACCAGGTTTGCCACCCATTGCCGGATCTTCTCAAAATTCTCCTTGCCCACACTTGAAGAGGTGTCCAAAATGAATACCAGATCATAGTGGACGTTCTTACAACCTGGGACACAAGACATGCAATTTTACAGACCATATGTATACAGCTTACCCACAGATTTTTAAGGTTTGTGTTTCTGCCATGGTGTGGTTGGATAATTCATACACTGAATTGTGCAGAGAAAAGTTCTTAGTTTGTCAGGTGCAAAACCTCAGTTAACAACAGACTCGCTGGAAGTCAGAATTAGATCCACCACATTGCTAAACAGAGGAGTCTTGAAAACAGTATATTTAGGCTAGAGTGTGACCTCACCTGCTCTTTGTCCTTCAACACCGCCTCCATACAGAGTTAAAGCCAGTACAGTCAGGACCAAAGAGATCCTGAGCCCAAATCGAAACTCCATCTCCTCCGCTGTTGTTCGCCGATATTCCTAGGGTGCAATGATCATGAAGTTGCTGCTCCTGTGGAGACATGAGAACAAATGTGAGGTGATCAGTCATTCGGACTCGGAGCTGAGTTATATTGAAGGATTGAGTGTATGATACAGAACTGTGCTTCACACACAACATTTCCTACTGATGTACTGCCAGCGCAGCCCACATCGATCCCGAATTGTACTTTCCAAGTTGCTGTTTCAGTTTGAGCGGAGTTGATTTATAGTTATGTGTTTGAGGAAAACTCTTTTTTATTTATTTTATAAAATGCTGATGTTGTAAGCATTTTTTTTTTCATTAAATAACTTTTAGAGAACATAAAAGCATTGCTTAGGCAGCTCAGAGGTTAGCACTGTTGCCTCAAAGCAAGAAGGTTGCTGGTTCAAGTCCCAGCTGGGTCAGTTGGCATTTCTGTTTGGAGTTTGTATGTTTTGCCTGTGTTTGTGTGGGTTTTCTCCGGTTGCTCCGGTTTTCTCCACAGTCCAAACACATGCGCTATAGGTGTATTGGATGAACTAAATTGGACATAGTTTATAAGTGTGTGTGTGTGAATGTGAGACTGTATGGGTGATTCCCAGTTCTGGGTTACGGTTGGAAGGGCATCCGCTGTGTAAAACATATGCTGGAATAGTTGGCTGTTCATTCCGCTGTGGCAACCTCTGAAATAGACACTAAGCTGAAGGAAAATGAATGAATGAATGAAAAGTCATTGTTTTAACTTTATAAAGTTAAGAAATAATAAAAATAAAAAAAAAAACGTATGTAATTTTCTGCAGAAAGAAATGATGATATTTATATTTAACGTTTAAAAGGAAAGTTAATCAGACCTTTATTGGGGAAAAAAGTACATTATGAAGTTTTTGCTTGAATTTCAGAAGAAACTCATCCAGTTTTTACATTTTTTTAATTAGCTGTAATATACATGCACTGTTATTGCCATTTTATGGAAGTAAAACAACAGTATGTGCAGAATATATATACAGTTGAAGTCAGAATTATTAGCCCCCTTTTGATTTATTTTGTTCTTTTTAAATATTTCCCAAATGATGTTTAACAGAGCAAGGAAATCTTCACAGTTTGTCTGATAATATTTTTTTCTTCTGGAGAAAGACTTATTTGTTTTGTTTTTGCTAGAATAAAAGCAGTTTTAATTTTTTAACACCATTTTTGGGACAAAATTATTAGCCCCTTTAAGCTATTTTTTTTTCGATAGACTACAGAACAAACCATCATTATACAATAACTTGCCTAATTCCCCTGACCTGCCTAGTTAGCTTAATTAACTTAGTTAAGCCTTTAAATGTCACTTTAAGCTGTATAGAAATGTCTTGAAAAATATCTAGTCAAATATTATTTACTGTCACCATGGCAAAGATAAAATAAATCAGTTATTAGAGATGAGATATTAGAAATGTTTTGAAAAATTCTTCTCTCCATTAAACAGAAATTGGGAAAAAAATAAACAGGGGGGCGAATAATTCAAGGGGGCTAATAATTCTGACTTCAACTGTATATGTACACCCCTCACAAATCTCTCTTTTAAATTAATATTTTTTATTTGGAAGCTATACAATGTTATATTTGTGCATAGACATTAGATTAGTGTTATGATCACCAGTGACCAGCAGCACGCAGTTCATTAAAGAACTACAAATCCGCCATTATATGGACTACAAGTTCCAGTCATGCACCGCTTACACGCACCTGTTCCTCATTCTGTTGATTTCACTCACTCACAGATGGGAGCTGATCATGAACTGATTACGTGGACTATATACACAGCACACACGCACACCTCTTTGCTGAGTCTTGTTATACTGTTTGTGAACATTACAACGCGTTTTCCTTGCCTTACTGATTTTGACCCTCACCTTGATTGATTGTTTTACGTTGTCTGCTGCCTGCCTTTTGACCATCTGCCTGTTTATGACCACATCACTGTATTGCCTGTACATCTGTTTGCCGCTGTGTTGACCATTGGTTGAATATTCTTTATAAAACCTGCATTTGGATCTGTTGCATCCGCACCTTTGTTGTTAGAGTCCCTTCTCATTACAATTGGTTAGTACTAAAGCCGGAGTTTATCTAACAAAATAACTTAAGATAACGGTTCAAAATCTAGTACACCCAAAATTATGCTATAGAAAAATATTAAATACCAATTTTAAAAAGAGGAACAATCAAGTGAAGCAAATAAAATGGAAAAATGTTGTTTTTGTAGTTTGCAATTTTTTTAGGTAATATTTTGTTTGAATTTAATTGTATTATCTTTCAATTTCTAAATATGTTTGGTGACTAAAATGTTATTTTAATAAATATATTTAATAAATCTGTTTTGTTTAAATGCACCAAAATACATTGCCTATAGAAAAATACTCATTTTCACAATAGGGTGTACTCAATTATGCTGAGCATTGTATGTATACTGCATATCCCTGGACTGTATATACAAACTGTAAAAGATTAGTTGATTTTACTTAAAAAGGTGCAGCAAGTTGGAAAGGACTACTCTAAAATAATTAATTAAATAAGCTAATCAAATGAAATTCTACACCTTTATAAATGTGCATAAATATAAAAAATTCATTCAACTTATTAGTTCAAAGTTACAATAGATTTCATCTCTCTTTTATATGAGTAAAGTCGACTGGTCGTTTTTAAGACAATGGGTTTACTCAGTCTTTAAATAAATAATCACTATACAGTGTACTTTATATTCATTCATTTTGTTTTGTCGCAACATCGGAATGAACCACCAACTAAGAGTGTACTCACACTATGTACAGTTGCCTTGAACCGGGTCGAAGCACGCTTGTCCCACCTCCTGTCTTCCCTGACGGCCCGCACTGATTTTGCATTCGCGCCTGGGCACGCTTAAGTCATCGATGTTGCGCTGTTCAGTAAGAATCGATCTCACTCAGGACAATGGAGATTTCTTTAGTTATATCCTTTTAGTGGTTTATGCGGTGACACGCAGTCAAATATTTTGCCAAACAAATATTTGACACTCATAAGCAATCATGAAGTCCTCGTGCTGCAGGTATTAGGAGGTTTGCTGAAGGTGCAGCTGTCGTGCAGTGAAGGTTTTGCGTCTTTACTAATCTACAACAGTTTGTGTTTATTGAACAGTAAGAATGATTAATAAATTCATATGAAACAGCCCCTTAAATGTTGCGTCTCGTCTTCAGTTTCGGGCTCAGGCGCTCTTTGCACTCACATGACAAGCGTACCGCGCCAAAGCCCAAGTGAACCGTTCGCTGGCACACCTCTTCCAACCAGGCTAGGGCCGGCCAAGTGAACCGTGCCTGAGCCTGATTCAGAGCACTCACACTTCCCAGACAATCTGGGAAACGAGCCTGGGCATGGTTCGGATAGCAGTGTGTGTACGCCCTTATCCTGAATATGTTTTACACTGCTGTTGCCCTTCCAGCTGCAACCCAGTACAGGGAAAGTACTTTATATGGACTTTTATATTTATTTTTTGAAGTGTGAACTGAAATGTTTCCATGAGATTCCATACATGACTTGTGATCTTCTCTGCAAGTGTACAGTAGCTGCTTCAAATTTGAACCTTCCTTCACTAAAGGTGATACTAAGTGTAAGTTTTGTGCAGTACAGTACACACAGTATACAAAGAACTTAAGTGCTAGCACAGCACACTAGGAGACATTTTAGGGCCTAAAATGTAAGTATTATAAATAACACATAATGAAAGATTGTAAGTGTCCATCAGCTAACCAGAGTAAAGGTGGGGTAACAGAAAGAAAAACCCCAGAAAGGTTTATGTCAGACTGTAATTCCTTCCTCCGCCGACTAAACTATACATTCCAGCACTTGTGACTAACCACACTCCTCTGGCCAAGCCGAGCTGATGTTTCACTGTAAATAGGGTGTGCTTCTGATTTAGAGGAGTACAGATCGCCCCAGGGAGCACACTGTCATCAGAGGGAGAGGGAACAACATTGGGAAGCATTGAATTATGGTTTTGCCGAAGCTTGATGATGTGGCAATCTTTCCTCTCAGGCAAGTTCAGCAAACATTCAGGTGGTAAATACAGTCGTTGTTTCATTATTTAGCAAAACTTTCACTAAGGTGAATAGACTGAACTTCATCAATGTAGAATGGAACTTTTATAACACTAAAAATGATATCCATTAGCTGCGTCCCAAATGGCACACTATACACTATGCACTCATGCACTATGTACTTATGCACTTACACACTCAACAGGATAGTATATGTATGTAGTGGCGTCCCAAATGGCACACTAATGTTTTTTTACTAAGCGTAAATTCAAACCGTTTTCCTGATGACGTTTGACGGTTGCAAAATCAGTGAAATAAACGACCGAATTATCAAATAATACCTGCCGTGAGTATTGCCGCATTCACCATCGGGAGGCGCTATAATCACTCTAGTATAAGAATTTTGCTTTCACCATCCAAAATAAATAAAGTTATCCAACATGTGCGCCGGATAGCTCCGCCCCTTCCGCTACGTGAGCAAACCTGCGGTCGTTGAGTGCGTGAAGTGTCCATCGTTACACACTTCATTTTAGCGGCTGAATGAGTGCATCATCCGGGTAATTAAAGTGCACTTATTATTTTTAGAGTTTTCATTGTGAACGCACTACTTACACTATTTATACTACAAAATGGCGTAGAAAAGTGCATAAGTATGCGATTTGGGACGCAGCTATTGAGTCCCCATTAGCACGTTGGCTCAGGGGTTAGCACTTGAAGCAAGAAGGTTGCTGGATTGAGTCCCAGCTGGGCCAACTTCTGTGTGGAGTTTGCATGTTCTTTCTGTGTTGGCGTGGGTTTCCTCCGGGTGCTCCGGTTGCCCCCACAGTCCAGAAAGATGCGCTATAGGTGAATTGATGTACTAAATTGGCTGTAGTGTATAAGTGTGAATAAGAGAGTGTATGGGTTTTTCCAAGTACTGGATTGAAGCTGGAAGGGAATCTGCGTAAAACATAAGCTGGAATAGTTGGCGGTTC